TGGATGTTGAACTTTGTCGAATGCTTTTTCAGCATCTATGGAGATGATCATGTGATTTTTGTCCTTCTTTTTGTTGATGTGGTGGATGATGTTGATGGATTTTTGAATGTTGTACCATCCTTGCATCCCTGGGATGTATCCCACTTGATCACGATCTATGATCTTTTTGATGTATTTTTGAATTTGGTTTGCTAATATTTTGTTGAGTATATGCATCTATGTTCATCAGGGATATTGGCCTGTAATTTTCTTTTTTTTTTGGTGTCTTTGCCTGGTTTTGGTATTAGAGTGATGTTGGCTTCAAAGAATCAGTTTGGGAGTGTTCCCTCCTCTTCTACTTTTTGGAAAAGTTAGGAGGATGGGTATTAGGTCTTCACTAACAATTTGATAAAATTCAGCAGTGAAACCATGTGGTCGAGGAGTTTTGTTCTTAGGTAGGTTTTTGATTACCAATTCAATTTCTTTGCTGGTAATTGGCCTGTTCAGATTTTCTGTTTCTTCCTTGGTTAGCCTTGGAAGGTTGTATTTTTCTAGAAAGTTGTCCATTTTTTCTAGGTTATCCTGTTTGTTTCCATATAATTTTTCATAGTATTCTCTCATTATTCGTTGTATTTCTGTGGTATCTGTAGTGATTTTTCCTTTCTCATTTCTGATTCTGTTTATATGTGTAGACTCTCTTTTTTTCTTGATAAGTCTGGCTAGGGGTTTATCTGTTTTGTTTATTTTCTCAAAGAACCAGCTCCTGCTTTCATTGATTCTTTCTATTGTTTTATTCTTCTCAATTTTATTTATTTCTGCTTTAATCCTTGTTATATCCCTCCTTCTACTGACTTTGGGCCTCATTTTTCTTCCTTTTCTAGTTTCATTAATTGTGAGTTTAGACTGTTCATTTGGGATTGTTCTTCTTCCTGAGGTAGGCCTGTGTTGCAATATATTTCTCTCTATGCACAGCCTTTGCTGCGTACCACAGATTTTGTGTTGTTGAATTATTGTTGTCATTTGTCTCCATTTGTTGCTTAATCTCTGTTTTTATTTGGTCATTTATCCATTGATTATTTAGGACCATGTTATTAAGCCTCAATGTGTTTGTGGGCTTTTTCATTTTCTTTGTGTAATTTATTTCTAGTTTCATACCTTTGTGATCTGAGAAGCTGGTTTGGACAATTTCAATCGATTTGAATTTACTGAGGTTCTTTTTGTGGCCTAGTGTATGATCTATTCTTGAAAATGTTCCATGTGCATTTGAGAAGAGTGTGTATCCTGTTGCTCTTGGATGGAGTGCTCTGTAGATGTCTGTAGGGTCCATCTGTTCTAATATGTTGTTCAGTGCCTCTGTTTCTTTACTTATTTTCTGTCTGGTTGATCTGGAGTGAGTGCTGTGTTGAAGTCTCCTAAAATGAATGCATTGCATTCTATTTCCCCCTTTAATTCTGTTAGTATTTGTTTCACATATGTCAGTGATTCTGTGTTGGGTGCATAGATATTTATAATAGTTATATCTTCTTGTTGGACTGACCCTTTTTTCATTATGTAGTGTCCTTCTTTGTCTCTTGTTAGTTTCTTTGTTTTGAAGTCTATTTTGTCTGATACAAGAACTGCAACTCCTGCTTTTTTCTCACTGTTAGTTGCATGAAATATTTTTTTCCATCCCTTTACTTTCAGTCTGTGTATGTCTTTGGGTTTGAAGTGAGTCTCTTGTAGGCAGCATATAGATGGGTCTTGTTTTTTTATCCATTCAGTGACTCTATGTCTTTTGATTGGTGAATTCATACCATTTACATTTAGGGTGATTATAGATAGGTATGTACTTATTGCCATTGCAGGCTTTAGATCCATGGTTATCAAAGGTTCAAGGATAATTCCCTTATTATCTGACAGTCTAATTTAACTCACTTCATATGCGGTTAAAAACACAACCTAAAGGTCTTTTTTTTTTCTCCTTTTTCTTCCTCCTCCATTCCATGTATATTATGAATCATATTCTTTACTCTTTGTCTATCCCTTAGGTGACATCTGTTTAGCCTTAGGAATACTTCCATCTATAGGCATCCCCCCAAAATGCACTATAGAGGTGCTTCATGGAAAGTAAATTCTCTCAGCTTTTGCTTATCTGAAAATTGTTTAATCCCTTCTTCAAATTTAAATGATAACCTTGTCAGGTATTCTTGGTTCAAGGCCCTTCTGCTTAGTTGCATTAAGTATATTATGCCACCCACTTCTGGCCTATAAGGTTTCTTTTGAGAAGTCTGATGATAGCCTGATGGGTGTTCCATTTTATGTGGTCTTTTTTCTCTGTGTAGCTGCTTTTAAAAGTCTGTCTTTATCCTTGATCTTTGCCATTTTAATTATTATATGTCTTGATGTTGTCTTTCTTGGGTCCCTGGTGTTGGGAGATCTGTGCATCTCCATGGCTTGAGAGACCATCTCCTTCCCCAGATTGGCGAAGTTTTCAGCAATTACCTCCTGAATGACACATTCTATCCCCTTTTCTCTCTCTTCTTCTCATACTCCTATAATGCAAATATTGTTCCATTTTGATTGGTCACACAGTTCTCTCAATATTCTTTCATTCTTAGAGATTCTTTTTTGTCTCTGTGCCTCAGCTTTTTTGTATTCCTCTTTTCTCATTTCTATTCCATTCCATTTACCATGTCTTCTACTACATCTGATCTCCTTTTAAATCCCTCCATTATATATTTCATTTCAGATAAGAAATTTCTTAATGATTGAATCTCTGACTTAAATTTGTTCCTTATTTCCTAAATATTTTTCTGTACCTCCATGAGCATGCTTATAATTTTTATTTTGAACTCTTGTTTCAGAAATATTGGTGAGTTCAGTTTCAATTGGCCCTTTTTCTGGGGTTTGTGAGATTTTGGTCTGAACCATATTCTTTTGACGTTTCATATTTCTGTGTGGTACCCACTAGTGCCTAGAAGCTCCACTCTCTGGAGCTGCTCAGTCCCTAGAGTGAGGTTGGGGGTCGTAGGGGAGCAGAGTTGGTGCCTAGGGGGAGGAAAGATCTGTTTCCTGATTCCCGTCTGTGGTGTCTGTCTCCAGTGTCAGAGCCAGTGAGCCGAGCACCCAAGCGTAACCCTCTGTGCTTGGCATCTCTACCTGTTGTAGGTGGGACCTCTCTCTGGCTGGCGTGACGTGAGTACAGTAACTTCTGGTTTGAGAACCAGTGCCAGCAGGCTAGGAGGGAGGTGCCCGCACTCTGCTTGTCACAGTGGGGGCCTCGGAGATGAGTAGGTAGCCAGGGGGATGGAGGACCTGAAGCTCCCCAAAGTTTCCAGTCTGCTACGCAGAGCATGCCCAGAAAGCCTTGTCCAGCTCTCCCTTCTCCCACACAGCAAGCTCCAAGCCAACCCTGCCCCTTCAGCAGCCCTCTCACTGCTAGGAAGCCTCTCAGACCACCTGCCTTTCCTCTATCACAGAGTGACTGCTGTGGATTCCCTCCTCCACAAACAGCCAGAATATCAGTCTCTCAAGAACTCCACCTGTCCAAGCTCCCAATGTCCGGAGCACCACACAATGTAGGTTTGTGCTCACAAAGCAGATCTCCAGGGCCAGGTGTTCAGCAGTCCGAAGCTTCCACCCCCTCCCCACTCAGTTTCTCTTACTCCCACCTGTGAGCTGGGGTTGGGGAAAGGCCTGGGTTCTGCTGGATCAAGGCTTTCATACATTACCCTGTTTATGAGGTCTGTGTGCAGTGTGGTTCAGCCTTCTTTCCTGTTGCTGTTTTGGGGTTAGTTGTAGTAATTAACTATATTTCTGTACCATTTGTGGTTTTGGGAGCAGTTCTCCATCTCACCTCTCACACCGCCATCTTGTATCTCTGTTCACTGCAGTCAATTTTAAAACACTATCTGTTCACCAAAAATAAACTCTACCCTTTTTGGCTAACACAGCTCTGTCCTCCTTTTAGCCGCAGTCCAAGGCAGTCACTAATCTAACCTGGGCTTTAAAGGGAGTCTTACAGTATGTGAACTTTCTGACTAATTCCTTTTGACTTAGTATGATGTTTTTGAGATTGGTATCATGTTGTAGTTTGAATCAGTACTTCATTTCTTTTAATTAACAAGTAATATCCTATTTGGTTTTATTTATTCATCAGTTGACAGATACTTCTTTATACTTTTTGGCTATTGTGACTAAAGGTTTTATGAATATTTGTGGCTACACCATTCCACATTCTCACCAGCAGTGTTTGAGAGTTCCAGTTTCTTTACATCCTTGCTAACACTTGTTATTATCTGTATTTTTTATTATAGGCATCCTAGTGTGTCTCTCTTGAATCTTAAGTCCCATGTACCTGTGCCTTATCATTGTTACTTGTTTTCTTGCATTTAACTGGTGATTCTTGTCTGCCTGGCTGGCTGCCTCTTGTCATTTGCTCATGGCAGCGCCCATATGTTCACCCAGCTTTGTGGTCCTCCTTTACTGCTGACCTTACTGAACGCCAGGCAGGCTTCGATGACTGATCATAGATACAGCACTGAATTCATGGTATTTCAGTATTTATAGTAATATATCTAATATAATAATCATTTAGATGTTCAGAAAATATTTAATATAATTACCACTTTAAAATGTGATTCCAGGAGAAAAACACTGTTAATTATTAAAAGTGTTTAGAATTCTAATCCTTTTATCTATTTTCACCTTAGTAGGTTTTGAAGAAATTATTTGATTTTGATCAAATATATTGCCGAAGGTAGGAAGATAATACAGTAAGACCAGTTTTTGTTCATAGAAGTTTTCAAGTAGGATTATGTTCTGTGATCTTCACTGTATATATAAAATTCGGGTATATGGATAGAGAAAAATGTTTTATAAGAATAGTAAAATGACTCATTACAGCAATTTTATATCCTGATGAGGAAAAGGCCCTTTTGCTCTACTATAGGGATATTCTCAGTGGAATCTGAGAACTCTTCAGTGAAGTAGTGTGATAAAATACACTGACCATCTTGTAAATATCTAATTATGTCTTCTAGGCCTTCCTTAAAGCTTCCCATGTCTCAATGGACTCCTGAATATAACAAACTCTATACCTTAACAGTGGATATGAAGAGTGAGATTACTTCTGATGCGCCAAAGACACAGGAGAGTCTGAAAGGGATCCTCTTGCATCCAGAGTCCACTGGGGCGGACAAAACTTTTCCTGCAGAAGTTGAGATGATTAATAGTAAAGTGGGGAATGAATTCTCTCATTTGTGTGATGATTCTCAGAAACAAGAGAAGGACATGAATGGTAACCAACAAGAGCAAGAAAAAAGTGTTGCTGTGAGGAAAAAACGCAAAAGCCAGCAGGCTGGCCCTTCATACATGCAGAATTGTGTTAAAGAGAACCAGGGAATATTAGGATTGAGGCAACACCTAGAAACACCAAGTGATGAAGATAATGATTCCTCTTTCAGTGATTGTCTTTCTTCTCCTTCATCTAGTCTGCATTTTGGGGATTCTGATACTGTGACTTCAGATGAGGATAAAGAAGTCACTGTAAGACATTCCCAGGGAATACTGAATGCTCAAAGTAGAACTCACAGTGCGCCATCACAAAAGTGGCCTTGCACTGAGACCGAATCAGTTTCAGGATTGTTAATGAAAAGACCCTGTTTTCATGGCAGTTCGTTAAGGAAACTTCCCTGCAGAAAGAGGTTTGTGAAAAATAATGCCTCACAGAGGACACAGAAACAGAAAGAGAGGATATTAATGCAGAGGAAGAAACGAGAAGTGCTAGCTCGAAGAAAATATGCATTGCTCCCTAGTTCTAGTAGTTCCAGTGAGAATGACCTCAGCAGTGAGTCCTCTTCCAGCTCATCAACTGAAGGAGAAGATTTGTTTGTTTCTGCCGCTGAAAACCACCAGAACAATCCAGCGGTTCCCTCAGGTAAAAATGTTTCTCGAGTTGAGTGAAACATGGAAACTCTTGCAGTGTGCCTGTGCTTATTTACTTTATAGTGATTTCATTGTATTTACAAGGAATGAAGCTTTGTTAACTTTTATTTTTGAATCATATAAATATCAACAGTAGAACTGAACCATGACTAATCATAATTCTAAGACAGATTTTAAAAATTTTTAACAAGATTTCAAATTTTCTGACAAGTCAGAGTAGTTTTCTTTAGAAAAATCATTTTACCATTGTATACATACATACAAGATGTTTCATGAGTTTGTGATTTATGGTATTTTTTTTTCCTATAGAGCTTCTTTAGTTTGCTTATCTTTTATGAATACATTTTCAGATTGCTGTGTGATGGATTTCTTTCACATTCAACCACAGTAAGAACAATTCTCATCTCTAAAAAAGACTACTTAGTATTATTTTTCCTTTAACTACTCGATTCTTAATGTTCTGATCTTTGTAACTGAAAAATAATTTCAAGTATTTGAGCAGTAACTTTTGTTATTCTTAAAGCAGAACACAAGTTTTTATTCCAACACTGCTCAATAGAACATGTAATTAATCAGTTAATATTAAATTGATAAGAGGATTAGCTTGATTGTATTACCCCCCCAACAGTAGGTATGTTTAACTAGAAAAAAATGTATGTACAGGCAGTTTCTGAAGTATAAGTATGTTACTTACCATTATTACAGTTTGTTGTAATTGAAAGGACATTGATGAAGTGAACATTGAGGAGTGAAGTCTGGACTGAGGGGAAAGATTAATTTCTTGTGGAAGTCTAAGGAAATGGGGGATAGGGAGAGCTGCTTAAAGGGCTAGTATTACGGCTTCTAACACAGACCCAGAGGTTTCCCGGTCTCTGCCTGATTGCCTGCATGTGATGGGCAGAGCCTGTTAGTCTGCTATGTCAATAGGCCATTTCTCCCTCTTTCTTCTCTCCTTTTATTCGGACCCCTTCCTTTTCCAAGACTCCCTTTTCTCGATTACTTTTTCTGTCCTAGTTGGAATCCTAAAACCAGTAACATTGTTCTTAATTTTAATATTGGCCATGTCCGTCCATATGTTTTAACCTACCCAGATATTTGTTTTAAAAAGAGCTCATTGAGATCCCCTACAGCTGGGAGGAAGTTAGAGCAACCATTCCCTGAGGTCTTTTGAGAAAGAAGGAGATGAGAATAGAAATTGTCACATTTCACCCTTTTCTGAAGGGCTTAAGATGTGAAGACTACTTTTGGGAGAGGAATCAGCAGAGCCCACTTTGTGCTTGAAATTAGTGAGGCAGGATGCTTGGTGATGTGCAGCAGACGTTCCAAGGAGCTGATATGTGTAGGAGGCATGAGAATAGAGTAAATGCAGGTGAGTATCAGTGTCTGTTTCCAAGAACAAAAGAATTCATATTTTTATAAGTATTCGAGATAAATTCAAAGTCTATAATACAATATGTTTTAAAATTTTGTTTAATACTTACTGTAGCATGTTTTTTACTCTCTCTCTTTGAAGAATTACTTTATTTCCACTACATTATTTTCAGACACTCTTAAATGCTTGTCTCTTTTTTAAAAGAAAATAAGGTATAATATAAAAAATAAAAGTTCAACTCTTTTTCTTAGGTCCCAGGCATATTACCCAGAAATAGTCAGTGAGCAATTTCGTATCTCCTTCAGAAAATGTGAAAATACATGTAAGAGTAAATAGATGTGGGTTTTTAAAAAAATATCAGCATGTATAGTTTTCTCATTTGTTTTTAAAAACCTGCCTAGTATTTCCTTTGTATGGCTGTATCATAATGTGTTTTGTTGGTGAATATTTGATGAATATTTTGTAGGTGAAAATCAGCTTCTGTTGATGAATATTTGCTGCATTGAGCAGCCTTGTACACACATTTTTTGCACACCTCTGCAAGCATAGCTTAAGGAATAATTTCTAAAAGTATATCAAAGGATAATGCACTTAAAACTTTTCTAGCTAATGCAGGTGGACAGTGACTAGTGGGGCATGAGGGGGGACTTGATAAATATGTTTGAATGTAGCAACCACAATATTGCTCATGTGAAACCTTCATAAGATTGTATGTCAATGATACCTTAATAAAAAATAAAAATAAAAAAAACTTTGCTAACTATTGTAACCAAAATGCCCTCAAGGGAATTTGCATCAAGTTCCTTTACCACCCAACAGTGGGGTGATGTCATGATGATGATAAAAATACCTAGCATTTTCTGGACATTTACTCTGTGCTGGTAAAGTTCTAAATATTTTATGTATATTCTCCTTTAATCCTCCCAACACTCTCGTGAGTGTTCTGTAACCATCACCTTCATATTACATATGAAGCATTTGGAAAATCTTTTAAGAATGATTTATATTCAGAATAGTTAAACTGAAATACTGATGGGACTTAGCTTTATTATCAAAAAACCATGATCTGTGATGTAGGTCTCAAAAATTTGAGTTCTTTAGATTATTAAGAGATACGGTTTTCTTCTAGATATGTTTTTAGTGCTGGCTAAAGTATACTGAGAATGGTTTATGTTTTAATGTATGTTATCGATTAGGAGAGGGTTGGAATATCTCAAATTTTAATTAAATTTATGTATTAGTTTTAATAATATGATTTACATATGTGAGTATTAGTTTCTCTAGAGCTATTGGGGCAAGTTTTTCATACACTAATCATCAACACTTACTAGGTGTTGCTATAGTTACCTGATGGAAAGAATGTTTTACATGTTAAATACTTTGTTGTATCTTCAAACCCTAAGGTACAATAGTTGGCCATAATGAACTGGTTTTACCAAATTACCTAAGAGTGACTTATTTAAGTCAGTACTTTACAAAGTGTAACAAACATGAGTTCATCTGTTGTAATGAATAGCCTTCTGGGAAATCCATATTTGCTTCTTGCTTCATCATCATTAATCACCTGTGAAATTTATCAGGCTCCATATTCACGCCTAGAAAACCACCATGATCTGTGACCTGGGTTGTCAGACATGGACTGATTCCCAGCTGCTCAGGAGGCTGAGAACTTATACATCCTCTTTTGTTCATGATAATGTTTCCCAAGAACTTCAAATATTTAAAAAATGTCTCAATAGAAGTTCAGTTTGAGAGCAGATGTTAAATTTCAGTGAATAGAAGCTAAGTTTGAGAGTAGATGTTAATTTTAGTGACATATGTCTGTGAGCCTTATGTGAACTGCTATTAAAATTTTTATTTTATAGTGGAAAGCCTTGGGTTTCCTAATTACTTGTGGATATGAGGACCTCTTCATTAACTTTCATTAGTTTAGCATTTATAGACTATTTCTCTTCCAGACTTAAAGGGAATGTCAATACCGTATATGCCCCAAATAAGAGAGCCTGACGGTATCAGTCCCATTTTCCTACTGAGTACGAAAAAACATCCTGGCTACCTTGAATTGTATACTTTTAGGGCTGTGAAAAAGACATATGTCTTGTAATGAAATTACTAATTTACTTACATATAGAAAATATTGAATAAATGCTAGTTTAGGAATATTGCTTATTAATACCCACATTTCCTGATGATAATTTTGTTCACACAGTGAGATGTCAATGACTCAGTAATTGCTAGAACCATTTTTAAGTCAGCAAACACAGTTTTCAGGAGCATATCATCCTCATCTGCTTTGTGTGAGACATAGCACTTGCTGACTCCAAATTGGAAATTTTATCCCAAACTACAAATACCAGTTAACCTTACGTTAGACTGGGAAGTCCCAATTTCCCAGGTTTTTAAAAAAATCCAATAGCTGTGTATTTTTATTTATATCATTTAAGAAAAAGTATCCAACAGCTGTATATTCATATCCATTCTTATTTCACCTCTGACTCTCCCCCTTTTTTTTTTCCGGAGAATTTCAGAACAGTTTTCAGGCATCATACCATATAGTTTGTTTTTTATACTGCGTATTTCCTGCAAATGAATAGTTAGATGGAAAAGCTTGATTTAATTCAGCTTCAGTTTAACACTTTCTTGGTGGAGCTGTGTAGTTTGTGCTGCGACATGTTAAAATTGCTAGAGGGCTCAGATGGTGACATCCTGATCCATCCATTATAAAGTTTCCCATCAGCTTTCCATGTCATATTTTTAACAGCTTTGATGATTTGCCTAGATCCATTATTTCATTAGGAGTTGCAAAATGTTGACTTTCTAATGCTATCATTGTGCTTAAATTTATTAACTGAGGAAGAATTCTTTCATGAACTAATAGGTTACTGTGAAATTCAGTCCGTGTATAAAGAATGCTTAATTCTTTACCTTCATGTACCATTTTTCAGAATGAATTGGTACTCTAGCAGAGGTTTTTCATTTTCAAGTATTATGAACTCACGGGTTTCAACCTAGCTGGTATGTCACAATCTTTTCATTCTTTTTGATGCTCAGGTAGTTTCAGCTTTGGCCAATGGGATCATGTCAAGTTGGGTCCGTGTCCTTCTCCCACCCCAGTAGTTTCTGATCACTTCCTCACTCTCTGATCAGCAAGACGGTCCAGATTTATTCCTTACTTTTCCTGCCACAAATCTGGAAACAACCATCTCTTTAAGTCCTCCTGATTTCTTTTTATTGAGAAATGATATTTAGAGGCTGTCAACTGGGAATTAAATGAATGTAAGTGAAATATTTGCAGTTTTTACTGTCAGTAATTTTAGTGAATCTAACACAGGATTTTTGTGTGGTTCCTTTTGCCCTTGGCCAGTTTTTTGTGTGGTTACGTGACCAATTAAATAAATGTTCGTTTGTTTTCGTGTTTGTTTCAAGGTGGGGTTTTTTTTAAGGGATCTGTTAAAATTTTTAATTTTGCTTTTAAATTAGGTAAAATGTTTGCCTTGTTCCAAAGTAAAAACTCTTAAACAAGGTATTTTCAGTGAGGTCTAGTTTCTAACTCTACCCCCTCTTCCTATCTTTATTTTCCCCATAGAGAACCATTGTCATTTTTTAAGAATTTTGGTTTG